AGCTGCCTGGCTGCCGGCTGCCATCTTGGTTGGCAGTTAATTTGCATATCTCACTGATTAGCCAATGGGAAGGGTAGCGGCCGTACGGCTAATTACCATGTTTCTCTTTTATTAGATACGATATTCTAGACTATAAGTTTTGTTAGTATATTCTTATCTATAATTCCTTTTCATGGTTACTCAGAGTAGCATATACTTTTTCTTTTTTACAATCTGATAGTTGTTATTTCTCCTTCACTTTTGATGGATAAATTTCTTGAAAATAATCAGTTTTTCTTTCTACACTAAAAAGGATTAAATACTTTTCCTCTTTGGTTGTGTGGTTTTTGGATGAAAAATATGCTGCAATCCTTTTCCTTGTACTACTAAAAATAAGGTACTATAAGTTTTGTTTTGTTTTGTTTTTCCCCTTCTGGTCTTCATTGGTAATTACTTCTGTCCTTTTTTTTCAGTTTGAATATAATATGCCTGTTAAAGAGCCTATTTGTTATTTTCTGTTCTTTGCTCTCTGTCATTAATTTTGGAATGTTCTCAGTTAATAGCTTTAATAGTTAGTTTATATTTGTCTTCATTTTTTGGTATTCAAGATACTTTTAAGGGTTATACCTTTGATATTTTCTCACAGTTATTGAATGTTCTTTATAAAAAACACATGTTTCTTTTTCTTTTTCTGTTTCAGTTTTGTAAAGTTTCTATTTACTTAGCTTCAATTTCACTGATTCTCTCTTTAGCTGTGTAGTATACTAAGTAGTCCATCAAATGCATTTTTTACTTGTTACATTGTGTTTCTTTTCTATTTTCAGCATTTACTTTAATTCTTTCTCAAAGCTTCCATCTCAATGCTTTTATTACCTATTTGTTCTTTAATGTTGTCAACTTTTTCCATTAAAGCTGTTAAAATATTAATCATAATAACTTTAAATTTCTTATCTGAAAATTCCAAAATCTGTGTCATATATGATTCTAGTTCTAAAGCTTGTTTTTTGTGTGTTTTTTCCTCTCTCTCTTCAAACTTTGCTTTTTCTTCTCTTTTTTCATGCCATATAATTTTTTGTTAAAAGCTTGACATGCTGTATTGGGTAATAAAACCTAATGTAAATAGTTTTTAATGTGAATATTCATGTTTATCTGGTTAGGATTTGGGCTGACTAGCATTTACTTTAGCCATTTGTGTGAAAGGCTTCAATATCCTCTAATTTACATACTTTTGTCTCTACTTTTGACTTTGAGATTTTCTAATTACTTCTTCTCAGACAGAGTCTGTGTTACAATTCTTTCAACTATATTCTAATTTATGACCCCAGAGTTCCATTGACGTGGTGATAACAATGGGAGTGGTGGAATATTCTATCTTTAATTAAATCTCAGTCTTGCACTAAGCCTGGGAATGTTACATTCACAAATGTTTCTCCAGTAGTGCTGCTTAGTTTGTCCCCTTGCACTACTCCTTCATTCCCTGACTACAAAATCCCCAATCTATTTCTTTGAAGCCTTAAACTATACACCATATATTTTCCCTTAGGTGACGCAGGACAACTAGAGGCAGATGCTGCGGGAAGGAATTCCTTTTCCTCCATCTGTAATATATTTTCAGAAATGTTCTTGGGAGATAATAGTAGATATATTTCACAACAGTTACTCTCTCCTATCTCCATGCCAGAACCTAAGATGTTTTTTTTTTGTTTGTTTGTTTTTCTAAGATGGTTTTTATATAATCCTTAGTATGAAAACCAAGTACAGTTCTTGAAGGTAAAATCCATGAATTTGTCAGTCACTTCTGAAGTCTGTGACTCTCCACATGGTTCTCACTCCCCATTAGTCAATAGGCTCTAGAACTTTATTATCAAAATACCCTCTAAATGTTCATACCAGTTTATGGCTCTATTAGTTTTAATCTACCTGTACAGGTCTCAGAATATGCTGGCCTTTCCATATTTTGGAGTGATGGTTTTCCCTACAACTGCAATTCTCTCATTGTTCCATGAAAAATATTTGCCTTTAAGTTTATTATTATTTTTTTTTCTGTTTTAACTCTGAGAGTGGCCATTTCCATGCTCTTAATATGATGGAGCTAAAACATAAATTCCTCCTGGTTTCTTTTTTGTCCTTTCTACTATTGCTCAACATGATACATCTGCATAGTCTTTAATGTCAGGAAGATCTGTAATTTTCCAATAACCTTGAGTAGGCTATTAAACTATTTCAGGACTGGTAAAGAGTCACAAAGATAATTATAAAGTTGCTTGGCTCATAGTCTGTATTCAATAAAAATTTCATTACCCTTCTCACTTCATACATGTGAAATCTATCTCATACCAATGAGTTTAAAGGACCAGTACTTACAATTATATATGTTTTTAAACTTGGTATTTGGGCATTGAATCATTAAATTATAAGGACCTGATGTCTAATACTTAGAAAATATATTTTTGCATTTGTTCATAATCATGCATTCCTCTTTCTCATGATTTTTTGAGCAATTACTCGGAAACAGCATTACTTTTCATTGCTTTATCTATTTTTTAATTACTGTCAAGTTTAATAGGCAATTTACAAATGAAAGTGTTAACGTAAAAAAACCATTGAAACCTGTAAAGAATTTTTGTGAGTTTATTTGAGCCAAACTGTCGACATATGCCGGGAAGCAGAACCTCAACGAATTGAGATAGTGCTCAGGAGAATGGCAGGGTTACATCCATATTTATACATGAAATTCATTGGTGACAGATTTAAGGAGGTGGGATTAATCAAAGCGGGGGGTGGGGGGAGAAACCTCTGTGATAGGATAAAAAGTAAAATGATGGACACATACTTAGGTGGGTGCAGGATCAATTAACATGATAATGAAGGAATTTGTGGTATCTGTCCTGGCGCCCAGAACATTTGGTTGTGCCCCAGGAGCTCCAGAAAAAGGGAAGTTACAAGTTACCCAG